TACCTTCCTTACAGGATTAGCCCTGTAAAGTGGAAAAAAATAAAAGGAGATTTCTTCCAACAATCGGTTCTCTGAACTCCCTGTGGAGATTCGGACCCTCACCACCCTTCAGTCTTTCCGCAAAGCCGTCAAGACCTGGCTGTTCCGGCAGGCCTGGGGCTGATGAGTTCCCATCCCCACTCAAATTGTTGTGACTGTTGAGAGTTTTAAATTGTCTTCTGTATTTTGTTCTCTGTCTTTTTGTTTTTTTCTGTATTGTTCCCATTCCCTTCTGGTTTGTTAGCCGCCCTGAGTCCCTCTGGGAATAGGGCGGCATACAGGTTTAATAAACCTATAACCTAACCTAACCTATTCTCCAAAGCACTTGAATGCAGGAAAAGAAGCAATGGATGGAAACTAATCAAGGAGAGAAGTAACCTAGAATAAGAAGTAGTTTTCTGATAGTCAAAACAATTAATCAGAGGAACAACTTGCCTCCAGAAGTTGTGAATACTCCAACACTGGAAGTTTTTAAGAAGAGATTTCTTCTTAAATAAATCTTCTAGAGTCTTCTAGTCCAACCCCATGCTCAGGCAAGAAACCCTATGCCATTTGTCTGAAATGCAATTATGCAATCTTACTCATATTTACCCAGCACCGAATTCCACTAAGTTCAGTGGGTTTTAGGACAACGGTGATCGGCTTCATATTGCAATTTAAATGGGCTACAATTAATAACAATAATCAACTGTGGTGGATTACGAGGATTTTTCTCTCTCCCAATTTGGCACCAATCCCATCATAAGAAAGATTTGACTGAAACTGAAATAAAACCATAGCTCTAACGCCATATCAACTTAACCAAATAAAACTAACATAGCAACGTGTTACGGAATTTGACAGAATGATGCGAAGGAAAAGGTCAACCTTGTTACATGGAATGCATGACAAGGAAATACAGATCATGAGAATGCTTTTTTTTTTGGTCAACTCCAGAAGTGTCCTGGCACTTAACAATCCTAGATTAAAGTCAGTCATCCAACACTATTTGATTATCTGGAATTCACAGCTTCAAGGAATGAGAACTATTTTTCAAATGTATATTAAAACACAACCCAGTTCTCAAGATAAAATAATGTTGGTTTGAGTTGTGGTTGCAGAGAAATTATTCTACATTCAGGTATGACTTGAAATTATACTCTGCCTTTGTAATTCTTGATGAGCTGGGCTTCTTATAATCAATAATCAGATCTCAACCACAATTCATTCTCTCCTTTTCTTTCCCTTCATGCAGATATGACAGGATTGCTGGACCAAGCATAGAAGAAGCATATGGAATGTTTTATTATAATTCTTTTGTTTGTTTGTTTTCAGACCATGTGCTTCTGTCAAATAAGATAGATTGACAATAAAATGGAGCATTTTTCTTCTTAACCAAACAAGCCATTTAATTTCTGTGGAACATATTGCCATGAAAAGTTAAGAAGGCAAAGGACTACATTTAATAAAAGTCATTCAAAAAGGGGAAAAAATTAATGGGAGTATCCAACTTATTCCTAAATAGTTAAAGAAATCAAATGATAAGGTTAGTGGTTTGATTTAGAATGAACACATATCTCCAAACCTGCCTAATTTTTATTAAGGATTGTTGGGGGCAAGATGCTGACTCTATAAACTGCTTAAGAGAGAGCTGTAAAGCACTGTAAAGTGGTATATAAGTCTAAGTGCTATTGTTAGTGCTAAGAAATCACAATTAAAGCCAAAACATTGAAATCAAATATTTTATTTACTTTTACCGCAGTATTCCCCAACTGATTTCCTCCACCCTGTTCAAGTGATCTCCATCCAACCAAACCACAATTATGGATGCTACAGTCCCCAAGTATAGACAGTCATGTTGATGTCAACTGGAAGCCTAAGTCAAGCCATCCTAGTTTCTAGAGGAATTATTTAATGTACCCATACAATAATGGTTTCTTGCCATAGTTTAATTCCCAACTTTCTTCTAGTATCAATAGTGTTAAGGCAGAGGTAGATAGATACTTATTTCTGGAACAGAGCAAAACAATAAAATCAAATTAATATTCAGATAAAAGTTTGTGGCTGCTTCTTTTTTGAAATGAAATAGCTGGTATTCGGTTTCCATTTAATTGAACAGAAAAATAAATCTACATGTACATGAAAGAGCAGCTGAAGTACACTCCAGCTGAACCGGGAAGTCTACTTGTTTGTTCAATACCATTGGAAGACACAAGATTGAGGGAAATGATTATAGGACATCTTTCCAGATTAAAAATCATACTTGGCCTTTGAATGTCAACCTGGGTTATACTCTCAATAGTACTAAAATTAAACATGGTTAATATTATTCTCTAATCATTACAGCCATGGAAGATTTGTCACTCTAGGAACAGAATGTTCAAGAGAGCTCCCAAATATTCTTCTGAAACATGCCAAAACTTTTCCTGTCTTACGGGAGTTTGGCAGTTTTTGAAAGTAAATCCTCCAAGTCTGGTTTCAAGAATTTACTTCCAGAAATCAACAAACCTCCTGAATGAGATTATCTGAAGGGAAATGGAACATTCTGGAATGCCACTCCCACGTAAACAAATTTTTACTCTTCTCTATTTTTTCTCCTCCTTCTATTACATTAAATAAAGTTTATAACTTGTTGGTACATCTGATGGCAACCAGTCAGATTTTTTTAAATCAAAGTCTACAGAGTATTTTCTTCTTACCTGGACCAGAGTCATCTGGGAGCCCAAAGCCAGCAAGATCTTCTCTGTCTTCGTTGGGTAGGGGTTATCCCGGTGCTTATACAACCACTGCTTCAGTGGTCGTGCCATATCCTGCAGGGCCTGGCGCTTGTGTCTCACCTTCCCACTGTTCTGCCGGGCGCTGTGAATGAGGTAAGAGAGAGGGGAGAGAAAGAGGTATATTGATATTTCAGGAGGAAAGGGGAGTTCTATGAGTGCTATCCATTCATTCTCACACTCATGGGGTGGAGAAGTAGAAGAGCATCAGTGAATCATGAAAGGGAACTATTTGTCATGACTGTATGCATCAGGTTTCCCCAATGTGCTACTCCAATCCAGGGTTGAGAATGGAACTGATAAAATGTTCTGCAAAAATGACCTCTAGGCTTCCATTTGTGGAAGACTGATCTATAGCTTCTCCCATCCCCCAAAGTCAGAATAGCAGATATAGACTCTAATCAATGTGGACGGAGTTACTTTTATTTACTCCGTGTAAATGTTAAAGCTGTAATTCAGCCTTTCCCAACTAGTTTATCCTTCCAATGAAGGAGAGGGGCTGGATTACAACCCCTTCTAAACATGGTGGAGGTTAGGTTGGGATATATTGATTTATGGCTTTGAATACATGCATGTGAATTTGTAGAGGTTATGGTACCTATTGTGATGATTTTCCATTATTTGTGACATCAACACACCTCAAATGGAATATCCTTGGCACATAAAATATTTTGTTCTACACCATGCAGAATTATTTTTATGGGATGGTAGCTATATAAATTAAATAAATAAATGAATACAATTATATTTTAAAATACTGTATTAAATCAACAATTTTAATGCTCAAATAACAGATTTAATATTCAATCCATCCAAAGGCAATTATACTAAACAAACATAATCATAAAGGCTATAGTCCAAATTAAGTGTGTGATAAACTATCTTATATTCCTATTTTTTATAAAAGTGGTTCAAAACAATTTAGGACTATTTAACTTTCAATATATTGGCTAGTTTCACACCACACTTTAAGCCATGGCAACATTACCCATGACTTGTTCAGGATTAGCAGAAAAAAAATTCAGCCATAAATCATAATGGCAAATATGGCAAGAAAAGTCATAAAATGGGGCAAAGCTCACTCTACAACCGCCTTACTAAGCAATGGAAATTCTGGTCACAGCTGTGATCGTAAGTGGAGGACTACAGGTAGTCCTCAACTTACAACCACAATTGAGCCCAAAATGTATGTTGTTAAGTGAGAAATTTGTTAAGTGAGTTTTCCCCCATTGGACGACTTTTCTTGCCATATTTGTTAAGTGAATCCCTGCAGCTGTTAAGTTAGTAACATGGTTGTTAAGTGAGTCTGGTTTCTCCATTGACTTTGCTTGTCAGGAGGCGACTACATGACTCCTGGACACTGCAAATGTCATACATGTCAGTCAGATGTAAATCGTGTGGCCATGGGGATGCTAAAATGGTTGTAAGTGTGAAAAGCGGTCATAAGTCACTTTTTTCAGTTATGTAATTTTGAATGGCCACTAGGTGGACTGATGTAAGTCGAGGACTTCTTGCCTACCTGTACTGCATCATTATTTTTGTGAATAGGAGCTTCGCTTCTACCCTCCCTCCAAGTTTTCCCTTCTCCACGTTTGCTAGGGGCTGAATATGAATAAAGCACAGTGGTGAGTTCCTACCCGTTCAGACCGGTTCAGCCAAACTGGTAGTGGTTTGACGGTCTGGGTTGCTGGAATTGGCAGCGACCCAGGCCTGCCACGCCCCTGAACTGGTTTTTCAGGCAGCACTGTAGGCACCGCCATCTTGTTTTTTGCTTCTGCGCATGTGGAGAACAATTTTTATTGCACTGCCAGAACCCACCCCTGATACAGCAGAATATGGATACAGCCACCCCAAATTTCATCTCCATTGGCTTTGTCTCTTTTGGCTTCTTAGATTTGGAATGTCTTATTGCTATCAAGCAGCTGTCTTTTCACAGGCATGTGATTACAACAATTCCAACTTCAGCTGGATTATCAGTATCATCCTAGAAGTCACAATGATAAATAGGGACATACTCTGGAGCCTTTCCTAACATATTCTTGTCATTATACATGATCAATGGTAATTACAAGCAACATAAAGGAGAGCCCTGCTGGTTAAACTAAAGGTCAATTGATTCCAAATATTTCCCAGAAGGATCTCTCAGACATATGGGTCAACTGAAGCATGAAGGCCACAGTTCTTTAAACAAAGATCTAAAGGCATTCAGAGCAGCCCACAAGTACAGACATATGAGGGAGTGTGGATTTACAAACTATGCATAATCATTTATTCAGGTTTTATGGAAGAATAAGCAGAGAGGAACTTGTTTATTCCTTAACATGTTTACCTCGCTAACTGTATTTTTCAAAAAAAAACATCCCTACTAGCTATAACAGTTTTGATAGCTCTTATATTCATAAAATCAAAATAACATTGCAGAAAGCCAATATATAAGAATGCAAACCAAGGGCAAAATTCAGCCCCAAGGGATGGAGAAAAAAGGAGTTGCCAAACTGGATGCTTTGATGATTTAAATAGCATCGTCCAGTTCTGGCCTGCATACTATCTCAACTTCTTATGAAGATAAAAGATCTTTCTCAAGAAAGGAAGCTGTTAAAACACTGTCTGACCTTGGAAGAAGGATTTGAGAAGAAAAGAAAATGCAGACAAAACAGTGTTTGCTAACAGAAAACATTTGGTATTTGACACGAGCCTTTAGCTTTTCTCTCCACTGGGATAGAGATGCAGCCAAAGCAAGCAAGTTCAGCAATCTTCTCCAATGTAGACCTTTTCAGTCATGCTGGAGAAAATGTCAGAAGTTGCCATCCCATTATTTCCAGGGCATTAAGGTGTGAAGGGCTGGCTTAATCAACACACTTTTTTCCTGCACCATTCTTTCAATTCTACCTTTAAACAAGGGATCTACTACACTGAGCATCTAGCAATAAGGATACTATTAGGATGCAATCCCCTTGGAAGCAGCAAGAGAGGAGCACAAAAACACAAAGAATTTCCCGTGAATTAGTATCAGTCCAACAGACCACACTACTGTAATAACAGTAAGTGGACCTTATTCCCAAACCCATACAATCAATGGGAGGTGACTGGGCTTACTAATAATTTCCTCCATAATGTAGGATAGTATTTCACAATCTCATCAGTTTAAAGATGTGTGAACTTCAATTCCCAGAATTCCCTAGGTAGCATGCTGTGGAATTCTGAGAGTGGAAGTCATACATTGTAAAGTTTCTGACCTTCAGAAACATTGGTATCGAGCAAAGGTGTCAAACCCAAGGCCCAGGAGTCGGATCTGGCCCGCAGAATAGTTACATATGGCCCAGTGGTTGGTTCCTACCGGTTTGGGGCTATTTGGCCAAACTGGTAGTGGTTTGGTGATCTGGGTCACTGGAACTGGCAGTGACCCAGGCCTGCCTGCCACACTCCCGAATCGGTTCTCCCAGAAGCAGAGCAATTCTTATTGCACTGCGCATGCGCGCGCAGCCATGAGCATACTGGCAGTACCACCCCTGATCTGGTCCCCTGGAAATAGGGAAGGACTGGCCCACGGTGCTTCTACCAGTGAAAATGGGTTCCCGAGCTCCCTTTTCACTGCCACAGCCTCCTGCAACCCTCTGCCAGTAAAATGGAGCTCAGTTTTCAGTGGCAGAGGGATGCAGGAGGCTGTGGTAGGCAAAAACGGAGCTCGGGATCCAGTTTTCGCTGGCAGAGCACTTGTGCTACCACAGATGCCTCTGATACGAGTGATGTCAAGTTGGCCACACCATCCTGGCCTTATCCACTCTGCCCTTCTGAGGTCAAACATAACCCTGATGTGGCCTTCAATTAAATTGAGATATAGAGGGACAGTTTAATCTTCTCCAGTTTCCTTAAGCAATTGAACATTTTCATGTATATTTGAAAGTAGGCAAATCTGTCTCAATGGGAGACGGCACGTAAATTTCCAGGCACATCATTTTGGGAAAGTTACATCATGGATCTTGTCCTGCTTAAAGCAAACTGGACCTAAATTAACCCGTGCTTAACTAAAATAAAGCCTGGTACAAGAAAAGCAAGGTTAAAAATCAGCCAAATCTAGAATGAATGCTTTCTCTGAATGAGTTTCTGTAAAGAAACCTATTTTATTTTCAGGCTTTATTCTACTGTCGCTTTAGAGTTCACAATCTGGTAGGCAGGCAGGGCAGCAAAGCAGCCACGTTGTTCTTTTGAGTCATGCGCTGGTAACCAAGGTGGGAGCAGGAATAAGAGTAGCTAAACCATCCTGGACCAGAGAAAAATACGAATTAGTCTAACTAGAGTTAAATTTAATTAAACACAATCAATATCACTCTCCTGTACATAATACATTCTCCTCTCCTTTGCATTAGAGTTAATATTTAGTCTTAATACTTAGAGAGAACCTGGGGCTGTACCCAAGGTTTTAGTGGTTTCCACAGTCTTCATTTTCACAGCTGTACACTATGCTTGTTGAACACGCTGTGAGCCAAGCTGAGGACAGTAGATGGCTTTTATTATGGTAGGCAACAATAGGGGATATCTTCCCAAGATCAACAATGTCTTCATAGGAAAAAAATTTCCCTAGTTTGGAGCAGGAGATAAAGAATTAAATTTCACCCACCCACCCTTACTTCAGGTGCTTCTATTTGCATTTTAAATGAAGACAACTGACCTCAGAGATAAAAACTTCCAAAGCCAACTGATAAATATATATAATCAAAGGGGCATGAAGAGTTCGGGACCTCGGAGAAATTGTTGCAAAGCCAAGTGTCAGCTTGGCTATGAGCCCCAAGAATGAACTGAGAAGCTGAGATCAATTCGCAGGGCAAGAGGATGTGATGGGAAGCAACCTTGCTTTCTGATAACACAACACAAACATTTTGCATATTGTTTATCTCGGAGCAAGCCTCCCCTTCAGGATTATTTTGTGAAAACCATTCCTAGCATGTTCTCACAATTCCAAAATGGGGCAGCCACTTCCCCAAAGTGAGGAATTTGGTTGAACCGATAAGTGTGGCTAATGTGACCTTGTTTTCAGATCAAGCAATTTTTACACATCTGGCTATTCGAGATATTTAGATAATAACTTCCTTCCCACTTCCAAAGTCTTACATCTGTTTATGACTAATTATTAAGGGGAGCAAGTGTCAGCCATTTCTGCACTTGACCAATCTTAAATGGAAAAAAAAACGTGACTTTTGCAGACAACCCAGTATTGATAAGCAATTAGTATTCTAGATATACATAATGACTGATGGAGAGATAATATTGCACTCTAGATTTTTGTCTAGGCAAAGACAAATGTCTGCCTGATGGGATGCTTGTACATTCCTATCCCAACAGAAGTTCATCCAATGGAAGACATGAACAACTTCGTCTCATCTCTCAGGCATGTGCTGTTTTTTTAGGCATGTCCTGTTTAATTAATGTAAAGCCTAACCATATGCAGTCCCCCTTCATGGAAAGAAGCTTTACTGAATAAAGTTCCATGGAATTTACACAGAGGCAAGTTTACATAAGTTTGGATCCACCGTATCCAAAATCAGAACACAAAGGAGAATCATTGAGAGAAACAGATTATAATCAGGGGCAGGTTTGCTCTCCCCTCAAAACCAGTCCAGGACATTTGGTATCCCCAGGGAGAAGACTGGATGCAAGTACACAAATCAAGCAACTAGACTTGGTCTTTCCACACACCCCCACCACCACCAAATATCAGAACCTGCCTTTCCAAACTGGTGCCAGTTTCTGGTTAAGATTCTGGAGTTTGATCCTGTAATGCTATTTTCCTCTAAAGATGCTGCTTCTAAACGGTGCTTGTTCCCTGCCCACTCATGAATGCCTCTCCCCCTTCTTAAAATTTGTTTTTGGGACTTTTTTTTACTTGTTACTATTATTGTTGAAATGTAATTCTGCATAAATCAGTTCGTAGTAGCATCTCAGCACAGCACAACCATTCTTTTGGTAACCTTAAATATTTTTTAAGTATAAACTTGATGTGATTTTTAACTTTTCATTTCAGGGAAAAAGAATCTCCTCTCCCTTTCCACTTTTGACATCCCTTAAATTTTTCTCACAAATGAGCGTTCTGATCTATGTGCATTTCTCCTAGACTTGTCGCATTCTGTTCATGAAGGTATCGATGATCCTCTATTGGATGTCCATGCAGAAACCATCAACTCACCCACCCACCCATTTTATGGCTCTTTCTGAACAAAGGGGGCAAATGTTGATTCCTTTGGACTCCTAATGTAGGCACAAGAGAAATATTAAGTTATACATGTGAACACAATAACCATTGGGGCAGTCAACCACAAAATAATTGTGCAAAAGCATTCCTTAAAAACCAAAGTTGAGTAAATTTGCAAGGCCCATAAGCACATATTATCCATCACCTGAAAAGCAATCATAAACAGCAGTAAGTTTGCTTTGCATGGTTGAAATAGCCACAACCAAAGGAATTCTGGATTAATTAATTGACACCATATTGATTATTGTCTCTAGCTGTCTGTCAAATGTAATATTGTTTAATAGATACTGCTAGTTTCCTTATTTTTCAAATTATTATTGTTGCTGCTGCTGCTGTAATTGTTGTAATTATTGTTATTATTTTCAGCAACATCAGTTTGCTCAGATGTAAATCCCAGTTAAGTCTCTCTTTCTCCTAGGTAAATGTTCATCCACTTTAATTTCCAGTCATTATCCTTGAACATTTTTTTTCTATTCTCACAATACTTAGGTAGCTGCTGGTTTCCATTTCATGCCAGCTGTATTCACAGTTTCTACAATGCCAGCTGCCCAGCCTATCAGTGGGATTTTCATCTTCCAAACATGCCACTTTCTTTTGAAAGTGTGTGGAAATAATTTAATGGAACATAATTGTGAGTAATGGGATGCCGAGTTGAGCTTAACAAGGAAGGTTTGGAAGTTGAGGTCTTGGCAAAAGGGCATAAGTGTTGGGTTGGTTGGATCATTGAAGTAAGTGCCCTGATAGGAAAGGCTAAGGCAGGTGGAGATGGACAGCGACTCCAGAATGTAATTCAACCTGTGCTCCAGCCTCTCACTTCTCCTGCCCAGACAACCCTCCCTTCCTCCCACCTGCTCTCCAAGCCCTGACCCAGCAGCCTGCGGGCGCTTACCCGGTCTTCTTATGGCGAACGGTGAGGTTGTCTTTATTGGGAGGGCGGTCGGGAAAGAGGACCTCCGGGCGAGGGGTGACCTCCAAGAGCGGCCCGTAAGGACGGCTGCTGTTTCTGTCGTGCTCCTTGGCGGTTTCTTCGAAGAGCACTTGGCCGCTGAGCTTGTTGAAGACGATGGTGTTCATGGCTGGAGGATGGCAATGTCCTTCAGGCGAGAGCAGGACGGCTGAGTGCGGGCAGGCAGTCCCGGTCAGCGGGGACAGACGCGCGCTGCCAAGGAGAAACTTCGGGTTATTCGGGGTTCCGGACATCACCCGACGCATCGCGAGGAGGGGTGGGAAGGAAAGGGGGCGAACAAGATCAAGGACGAGGACTTTCCCGCGAAGGGAGAGCCTCCAGGAGCAGCTGCATTAAACGCCAGGGGCTACCGAAGGAACGCGCGCCCCTTGGCTCCCTCCCCATCCCCCCCCCCGTAACAGGGCGGGAGAGAAGGGCGATCGGAAAGTCGCCAATGTTGAAGAGAGGACCACCAGTCGCTTTTCGAAACGTCCCCGCTAAACTCAACCCCCCATCCCACATTCCGCCAAGCCATCTCGTGGTCGGTTTGATCAGAGCGAAAAGCGAACCTAGGCGTAAAGTTGTGCCTCTTCAAGCAAAGCTTACCGGTCGGAGAGAGGTGGAAACGCGGCGCGCTCCAAACCAAACCAAACCAAACGCTCTGCTGAACTACTGCGCGATTCTAATCTTCGATGCGCGTTTATGAGGTTTTTAAAGGCTTCCTTTTACCGGGCTGTTTCCATCCCTTGTGAGCATCACTCTCAACCACCGAATCGGAGACGAAAACCCAGCATCACCTGCTTAATTTGCCTCCCTGTCCGCGAATGAGAGGCGGAAGTTCCGTCTGGAGGGCAGGCGGCTTGGGCAGAAGGGCGTAGCTGATGTGGTATCTCGGGGCTCCCCTTCACGGCTCGCGCACGGCCGGTCCCGTTCCCCGCCTCCTTTACACCTGTCTGCACGCCCCCTAGTGACAGGACCAATTCTTCCAGCGAACGAGGGACTTTCGCCAGAGAGAGTTTTCGCATTAATTGGACTGTTCCTCTCAAATACAACAGAGAGAGAGAGAGAGAGAGAGAGAGAGAGAGAGAGAGAGAGAGAGAGAGAGAGAGAAAGAGAAATGGGGCTAGGAAAAGGGGGACAAACAGCTCTTTTCCACCAGGATTGCGACGTCTCCATGTTGTTCAAAAATAGTTTGTCACTGTTTTTTTCTAGAACATTTTTGGAGAGGAGGGGTTGGTTGATTTCCCAATCTACAGCACAGATTTCTTGGTGTTTTCTCATTCAAGTATTACATCTGATGTAAATTTAATAATCTTTTGTGTTTCTTTCTTTCTTTGCCCGAGAAGCAGACAGGTGTTGCAATGGATGTGTCCGCTTTGCTAATGTAAGGCTGGGAACTTGTTTTGCCTAACTTACACATTTATTTGTTGCCATGTATTCATTCTATTAGCTCCCCCCACCAAAATAATTTACTATTAAAATGGGATAACGATCTGTATTTTATTACTGTATTTTAATAGCCTTGAGCTCTGTTTGCCAAGAAAAGGAGGGGAGGCCATTCTAAGAAATGAACAAATTCTTATAAGTACAAATGGTTGGGGAAGTTTCTGCCGAAATGTGCATTATTTTTTCTTGCAAGACCACCAACACACCTAGGACCTAAACTGTTGCTTCAAGGACAAAAACAGAAACATTGACTCTCCCACTCCTGTGATAGAGGTTTAGAAAAACAAAGGCTATCCTGAGCATCCTCTAAACCAGAATGTTTCCCCCCCCCTTACATTTGAGAATGCACATGCATTAAACTTCATGTGAATGCGCGGGGTTTATGAATACGTGGGACTTTTTCTCCTGTGTGCTTTAAACCACTCGAGGATTCTGTATACCAAGCTAATACACCTCCCAAGCCGAAAATATTCTGCTGTGCTCTCGGTGCAGATTGAAAGGGGGAGGGGGGGTTGAATATACAGTTATTCAATTGAACAACTAGGTTTAAATCAAGCTTTTCTTGTCTGTAAATGCGAATAACTACAGAAAGGTATGCGACATGTTTACGATTTGACTTGGTATACATTCGAACTTAAGCCGGATCAGACCTTGTTAGTACTTGGATAGGAGACTACGGGGAAATCCCAGGACTGCAGCCTGAGAAATAAGGGGGGAGGGGAAAGGGAAGACAAACTACTGTACTTCTCCCAAGAACATTCCATGGAGGTGCCTACAAGCCACTGGAAACAGATCTCACTTTGTGATGGGAAATTCTTCAAGCAAGGTCAACCTCTGCAAGTTTAGCAGAAAGCAAGACTCACTGAATTCAGTGGAATTTAGTCCCAAGCAACTGCCTTTTGGATTTCAGCCAAATGCTATTTCAATTTAAAACGAAACCCGCATTGGATACCATTGGTAGGTTCTACCCCCCCCCACACACACACACAACTTCCCCCTCCCCTTTTTACAATTCACATACTGCCAGTTAACGCACGCAAGTCTATGGAAAACAGGTTATATCAAACAAATAAAAAGACTGGTAATTTTCTGGCATCCCGCAGAGAGGGCCATTGGTTCAAGCTCCTCGGATCCATCCGGACCAGGTCCGGGAAATGCCCATAAGCGTTCACATCTTATAATTGACTAATACGGATAAAAAAGTGTGTGATCAAATATCACATACCTCTGAGTTTTGAAGATCACTCTGACAGAGGAATTGGGCAATTAGATAGAAAAGAGACGATCTAGAGCGACTGCGGTGGAAACTACTTTAGAGGAAGAAACAGGAGTCGCGGGCGGAGGTGGGCTCTTCCCAATCAGAAAAAGAAAGACACGTGATGCTGCCTGTCCCTATGGGTGCTCATTCCTAGAGATAAGGCTAATTACAGCTTCAGCTGCAGACACAAACCATGGGTTATTTAACTGTGCCTTAACTAATAACTATCGGTATATTCAAGGTCCTTGTGAAGCAAACCAACGATAGTTGTTAGTAAAACGTGGTTCAACAAGCCATGGTTTGCATATGCAGCTGAAACTTTAACCACACACCATTCCACCCTCCAGTAGCATCCTGGTTAGCTTGTTGGCCGAACTCAGTCAGAGAGATGTCAGGACAGGAAGGGGAATAGGGGCGAAGTCTGCAAAAGATGCCCAGAAAGAGATGCGGCCAAACAAACTTGGAAAACTCGTTTCTGAAACACGTGTGCGTTGTTTGAGAGACTCGAAGGGGCCCCGTTTGAGAGGCGAGATAAGTTTGTCAACTTGCCCCGCTTGAGTTCATGAACAAGAAAACGAAGCGTAGCTCAAGCAATAAGCGCGTTCAGATTCACATCTACATGTTTCTGCATGGCGCGGGGAGTGGACAGATGAAAGCAGAGTCCCGGGTGGCGTCGCCTGCCTTGTTCTGATTCATCTCGCCCTCTCCGGTGCTGCGCCCCCACCCCATAACTACAGCCCAACCTTTAATCTGGCAGGTTTTGCTACCTTCGCTCGCCTTCGCTTCGTCAGGACGTACTCAGGCAGCTTTTCCCGGCCGGAGCTCCCTTTGGCCTCTCTGCTGACCAAAGTCACTCAAGAGATCCGCGCCAACAGCACCCCCACGCACTCATCCCGGTGCCATCCAGCTTCTCCATCCCAAACTTTCTCATCCCAAACTAAGCCAAGAATCGCGTCCCCTTCTCCCCGCTCCAAAAACGTTTGGAATAGCCACTGTCAATATTTGCGAGGATGTTGTTCAGACTTCTTTCGGACTAGTCCGCAGGGGGGGAAAAACACGCCGTGGACGCGCGTCAGCCTGGCAGGCCGCTCTGCGGGTCTGCGCGGGTCTGGAGCCTCCAAGGCAAGGCGGCAAGCGCTACTGGACCAAAAGAGGACAGGAACCTGCCTGGCGTACCTGGGCCCAGAAAACAACTCTCGTGCGTCCCACAGTCCCCTCCGGTCCCCAACCCTCGCCCAGGTACCTGCAGCCCAGCCCTCAGGACTTTTCCCAAGATCGAATCTGACACCGCAAAGACATCGCCGCATTTAAGCATCACACAGGACTTCCACTGATGGGGACGCCTCAAGGATGCGACTTTTAACAAAAAGATAAAAGGAAGAAAAGCCTCCGGGCACCATCAAATTACCCCATCAAGACGGCCTCAGCTGAACCGGCGGTACTTTCCCTAAAGTTAAAGGGTAGCATCTTGGGTTGCAACCCTCTCGGGGCTCCCCAAGAACCTTCCTTTCCTCCTCTGAAGCCGCCACCACTCGAAGGCCTCGGTCTGGCTCACGTTCGCCGGACTCTTCCCGACAAAGGCGTTCCCATGCGCTCTCCAGGTTAACCAGAGAGGTCCCCTTCCGGCAGAATCAGAAGAAGTAAGAAACAAGCCCATCCCTTGGGAGGGAGAAAGGGGCCATAATAATCCGATTGCAATTTGTAACCAGGGACCCAAAGCCACTGCCGAAATGTAAATAGTTTCGAATAATTAATTAAGTCGAAACACGCCTATTTCAAAATTTACAGCACATGAATTTCAAATATCCAGAGAACATTTAGCTTGCGAGGGTCGCTTCTAGACCGCGTCTAGACCTCTCAAGTTCCTTGTTTAAGGCACAATACAGAGCGGCACTTAAAAGACACGGACCATTGGCAAAGTAGTGAGAGAATAGCACGTAGGAAAAGGCGGCCGCCGTTTCCCGCAGCGAGACCCCGTTTCCGCAAAAGGTCGCCGCGAATACCGTCAACCCGCTGCTCGCAAACCGCTTCTTCGCCCAGGCCCCGTCAACTTTCGCAGAAATGCGGATGCGCAACTCTGGAGAACAGAGGATGCTGCGTTTCGGGTGACTCTCCTGGGGATCTGCGCGTCCCAAACTCGCCTAATTAGAGATGCGGCAGTTCCGCTCCCTAATGGGAGAAGGCGCAGTTCACTCGGGCCACTAAGTGGCAATGGGTTTACGAGATCAAGCCCCGGGCCTGCCCCCGCCCCCGCCCCCAATTCAGTAAACGGAAAAGGCAAAAATAAAGCGCTCGCTTCCCCTTAGGATCTTTTGCGTAGTCCTCATAGTCTGCCGTTGCTATTACTATGAATCTTATTAAGTTGATGCGTGCGTGTGTAGAGGGTGGCGGGGCGGGGGATGGGTGGGTAGAATCCTTCTGGCAGCTAAGGCGTCCGGACTGTATT